TTAATTTAGGTTTATTGTAATAAAGTTTCTACTATGACATTATATTAATAAAAAAAAAAAAAAAAAAAAAAAAAAAACTGTATAATTGTATATTTTTATTGTAAAGCCTAACTTTAATAGAAATTTTTCTCGCTAATAATAGCATACTTATTATTAAATACTTTTTTAATCTAGAACCTAATTTTTATTATATAAAATAAGATTGTATTAAAAACAATAAACTAAATATATAGTTACAACTTACTAAATTTATCTAAAAATAGAAAATATAAACAATGCTAATTTTTTGATAGAAGTAAGCTGGTTTGTTTATTTTTTTAAAAAAATTTTAGAAAAACTAGTACAAGACAGAAAGAAGTATTATATTATTTATACTATCTTTTAAAAAGTATATTATTTTTTTTGTTCAAAATAAAATAAAACTTATAATACTAGTCAGTATACTAAAACTTTCTTTTTAGTAAGTAATAAACTCTAAGTTTGTTGACAAATAGCATATAAAAACTATTTTTAAATAACAAGTACTATTCCTGCAATAAGTAATAAACTCTAAACATATTAATAAATAGCATATAAGAACTACTTCTAAATAATAGATACCAATTTATAGTTTCTATTTCATTTATTGCTATTTTATTTTAAAATTATTAAATTTTTTCAAAAAAAAGTTTGTTATAAATTTGATACAAGTGATTATCAAAAAAAGTGCTATTTTTTCAAATAAGAATTATATTATCACTTAATATATAAACTAATATAAACAAATTTGTCTGTAGTTTTATACTTTTTTTAGCTTTAATCTATTTTTTTAAAATATTAAAATATCTAGATAAAACTTTACACAATTATATTTAAAAATAAGAATTACTTTTTTGCAAAATTAATTTTTATACGTTTGTCAACAAAACTCTTTCCACTGATCCTCACGACCAAACTGAAGCAGAAGAAAATCTTGAAATTAAGCACAATCATACTAAGATAATATCAGTTGTAGCCTTAAAGAAAAAGAACAAGTAGAGAAAAACAACTATAGCTTCATAGAACGGCTTGGCTCTTATCAAACTTTAGCTAGTATTGCAAGGAAAAAACAAAATTTTTTAGAAAATTTTTTAAAAAATTTGGTGATTCGTCTTTTACCCTGTACTGCAGATCACCAAGCAACAAAACAAATAGACATGTACAGAAGTAAACAAATAAACAAATAAACAATAAGTCATATAAATAAACAAACAAATAAACAAATACTCAGAATAAACAAAACACAATTATATACGCGTCAAATAAACAAACAAACAATAACAAACGATTAGACACCAAATGCTGGTACTGGAAAAATACAAAAACTTCTTTAACAAAAGTGAAGAGGAAAGATCAGATCTTTATAACGAACAAAGTACAACCACTCTCAAAAAAGATAGCAAAGTGGCAAATTACCTAGGTACAGATGATAAACACTTAATAGCTATTATCCGCAACGTTTTGCATATTTACGATTAGGCCCAACATAAGGAAACAAGAGAGCTAGAGTTAACAGAGGAGAAAAAAATCTTAATAGATGAGAACATCGATCTCAGGAAGCTACAAAGTAGTAGTACTAATATGAAAACAGAAACATCTGCTATGGAAATAAGTATAGAACAACCATCAGGAAAAGTTGAATCAACTACGATAGAATTTACTTTAATATATACAAATGATCAAACTGATGACTACAAGAACATAACCAGCACTGAATTAATCTCGATGGAAGTTATCTATACACAGACAAATAAACCAGAAGTTGTAAATGATCCTGAAATGGAAATTGAATATTTAAACATGCTACGCAAAAGAAATTTTATAGAAAATGATAGTGATAGCAGTTCGGCAGAAAATGAACAGGATGTAGTCAAGTTAGTTTTACTAAATAATGAATGTGGTGTAATAGATTACAGTCTTGCTAGTCAAATCAAAGAAATAGTGAGTAAAGATCAGAAGAATAGAAAGAATAAAAACAGCAAGAAACATAAGTATTATGAAGATATCTATAACTCGATATAGGCCCCAAAAGGCAATTTTAGATTACAAGAATCTACCTCGCATTACTTTTTCACAATATGGGATCTTCCAAAAGAAA